GACCAAGCTTGGAACATCTGACTGTGCGGAGATAAACAGACTTGGTCCTGGGATAAATTGCTGTCTGGGACGGATTTTCTTCTTTCCTTAGAAATTGCTTAAACCTTGTGAAATGAATCAGCCTCTTCCGAGTGGACGATGATATATATGCGTCTACCATGGGATATAAGAGAAGGAAATAGGTTGAAAACGGAAATAAGGGAATCATAGCTTTGGGATCAATGCTAGAATATCAATGAGGATGGATGCGAATGAAGAACCGGAAGCCGGCGACCGTGCAATTTTGTTTGCCATCGAAAGGTCTCCTTTAATGATGGGTAAAATAGACCAGAACGTGATATCTATTGATGATGCGAAGTGGTGAAGGTTCAGAATTCAAGTTCGGCATGGAAACATTTCAGGACTGCAAAATCCACCCGTTCCCCGATGAGCGTTACGCCAGCAGAATCACTGATGGGAAGCGGCGCAGAAACGATCGTGCGATGCCAGGTGCGAGCGGAATATTATCCTCCATGCTCTTGGACGCTACGTTTAACGCTTCCAAGCGGTTGCGCTTGGCGTGTCGTCTCGCGTGCGAAGAACTTGTATTTAACCATCCTCTACCTTGTATCCATTGAAGTGGGCTCGCCATGCTTCTGTCGAGAGCAGCTGTTCACTTCTATAAGACCTACTCCTAACCAGTGACGCAGTAGAGCGGACGTCTTTATTCTGGAGGTAGGCTTCGGTCATCCACTAGGAGAGGTAGAGGGGTTTTTCTGGGTGCCCTCTGAGGCAGATTTAGTAGTTACATCCGGAGCGCCTCGAGGTAGATATGAAGGTATTTGCTCGCAAACTACCTCAACCGTCACGTAACAAAAAAGGATGTTAGAACGTTTCCCCTTGGAAGGTTCGCATTGGTCGGGACGGAATCAATCAAGAATACATAAACATTGGAAAGTTATTCTCTACGAAGAAACATGTTCAATGTATCTTCCACTGCGCGAAAAGACCGATCGTGGGGGGAGGGGGGGGGGTGTAATTCTGCTAAACTGCTACAGAGTCTTCCGAGAAATAGAGTAGACTATACGCTCTGTGGCTGCCTTCAAGTCTCCAAACGTGCATGGAAATAAACCCGACTGGAAGACTTTGTTCTTTAGGTATTCCAAGAGGAAATAACTACAGGGAATGAGATTGGGGGAAAATGGTGGCCATACTAATCCACTGCTGTGGATAACAGGAATTCCGCTAGACAGCCTTTTGGTACCGAAGTTCTCGTTCAAGGCGAACGCTGTGTTACGATCTCTATCCAGGTATTTTCTCTGGGAACACATGAAGGACAAAGTTTTCGAGTCAAAGTTAAATTCGTGCACGTTTAGAGACCTGAAGGATGTCACAGAACGTGAAGTTACTACATTTTCCTGGTTTCCTGGCAGGCAGTTCGGCAGAATTACAACACACCCTTACGACCCGTGATAGCGCACATTGAACACGTTTTTTCATTAAGTATAATTGTCACATGTTTCTTGATGCGAAATTTCAGGCATCTATCTCTATTTCTTCAATTATACACTTTTATAATGGTCCCAATAACAAAAAATCAACCTTGTAGTTAAAAAACAAGAGAATGTACAGGATCTTCTCAGCAGAACTTCGTACACGTACAGCTTTCGCTCGAGAAGTGAATATTTAACGATTCACCATTGCACCATTTATTCAGTGAAGGAAGCCAGATGCGGCAATTCACTCATACGCCTGGTAACCGGGTCGACGCGGCCACAAGCAAGCCCGCTCCCTCATTGTCTACTACGGATCCGTCATCCACGAGACCTGGAATGGAAGCGGAAGTTTCAGTTTTGGACAGGCACCCCGACCGAGACAGGAGGCTGCACATATCCGATGAGGCGAGTCGTCTGCATGCGATGGATACTGCGTTCAGAAAGAAGGAAACGAAAAAGAATGGCAGAAGGCAATATCTGCCATTTCCCCATGATTCCTATAGGAAATGCAGACATGAAGTAAACAGCGCTTCCACCGAATAGGCTTCTTAGTTCCCATTTAATTTCTGATGAAAATCCAATTTTCCAGTTTCGCCTCGGCGACCACGTAGTCGATGTGTGGAGGACTCCTCGAAATCATCTTCGGAGCGATCACGAGGCCCCTGGCGAAATATCCCACGAAGAAACTGAAGGTACCGACCGATACGATGCTGTGATTGCAGTGGCAGAGGACTGCAAAGTCCAAGTCCCGGTTCCCCCCCTCCAAGAAGACGATCGGCACGTCCTCGTCCACGCTTTTGATGTTTTCCTTGCACCATTTTAGGTCGTCGCTGGCCAAGACGTAAACGATACGAGAGAACAGGAGTCCGAAATGAGTCATGGCTCTCTCCTGCGAAATAGTCGGCAGTAGAACGAGGAAGAGGGAGAGAATTCACGCACATGTTTTCAAAGTTGATAGTCGACTAGGTCCCAACGAATGTTGAGTGATGGAACGGAATCGGTGCGTCTTGAACAAAACCTCGGAATCGATTCGATGGAGGCCGCGTCCTCGATCGAGAGATCTAATTGCGAGACGCCTCGCATGCCAGGAGCGCAGGGGGGGAACTCGTGCGACTGGGATCGTGCCTGCGAATAGACTCGACCGTGATGGAACCATCTGGTCAGGCGTGCACACCTGAAGCGCGTGAGTCGTTTCGCCGTCGATGGAGGCCATTCCGTCAGAGATGCAAGGCAGACCTAGAACGATCCAGTCGGATTGTCTGAATCGCTTCTTTCTCCCGGTTCAAAGGGCGATGAAAATGTAGTGGTCGGATTTTGCGGTGTGCTCAATCTTACGAGCAGTCTCTCAATCAGAAATCATTCAAAATTGGTCAATCTAAACCTATATTATCTTTCCCTGCACAGAAAATGAAAGGAATTAACACAAGGTTCACCTTTTGGCATATGAGCAGTCCTCACAACGGTTGACTCTAATGGTTTCATTTAAAACACCTATGCTGCTTATTTTCCATCGAAGAACCCAAACGGACGCCTACTTTCACCATACCGCCTCGATACTACTGAGTTCAATCAACTGATGACAGATGGCGGTTGACCAGCCCATCCCAACCTGGTCGGGTCATCCACTCAATGCCGGCCCAGCCTTTGTCCAAGGAGACTCGGGTGAATGCCGTCGAAGTTCCTTGGCCCTTGACAAGCGATGCTACTCTGCGGCACCCGCCACGATCCCGCTCGTGGGGACGAAACCCCAACACCGCGCAGGGAGAAGTTTGCTACATGGGTTGGTTCTTAGCTAGGGGTTCTCGTTTCTGCAAGGTTTCATAAAAATTGACTCATTTGTTCGGAGATGCTATGTGAAAGTTTGAGAATATATGCATATATGTATGAAAGGAATGAGTGCCATGATTGAACCGATCAACTGAGCTGACTTCAAGGAAGATTTCTACTGCTCAAAGACGATCGATCCTACATCCGTCTCATTTTTTTTAAAGTTTCTCCTGCCATACAGTCCCTATTTGAATCCCATTGAATTGCCTCCTTTCGATTGAAAGTAGAGGTCAACCGACATATGGGTTTGCTATCGACACCTATGGATGCTGCTCAAGGTGTGTCCAAGGTACAAAATGGCATACATTTTCTTTAACAAATTGTGCACGATGCGACATAGGGACTTTGCACTGTCGATCGATGCCGTGGAGCATATTCATACATTTATGTGAACAGATAATTCAATCGATAATTCATCGCTGAATACAGTATAGTCGTTCTTTCCACCCCTAGGAAGGAAAAAGAGATTCCGCCTTCACCGTCTGCTTTCTTTGAGTTTCCTTTGTCTGGACACGGAATCCTTGAGAGGATGCTCACCCTCCGCTTCTCACATGCATGGAGGATGTTCTCATTTTCCTGCACTGGGGCGAGGAACAACTTCGTTTTGGAATACTAAGATTCAATCTTAACTTTCGCTCAAGAGAAGACATTTTCCTAGAACGGTATGTCTGGAATGCTGTCCTCCCCACACTACCATATAGCGCCTGCCCCAGCATGGAGACGCGGATTGGACTTCCCTGGGCCTCGACCGTATATATAAGATTAATACACATTTATATTGGACATGAAAGAGATGCTGAGAAGCTTGTCTGAGTTTTTCTCGGAACACTTCTTTGAACTTTGCATTGGGTATATGAGCATGAATTATTCGTTATCCCCTTGGAGAACGGGGCTTTGTTGTATTCACCCTCTGTCACCCGGTCAGCTACAGCGGCCTCTTCGGGATACAGCGCCACCTTGCGGAAATGAAAAAACCTCTTACACTCGTGAACCTCTCTGTCATGTATCAGCTGCGTCCAACTGTCCCTTAAAAAATTAAAGTTGAAAAGTTCCTTGCCTTCTGAGACGGTCGAGCCCAGGTCATTATCTCACTTGAGGTGGAATGTTCCATCTCCAAGCACCTTTAATTCACCTGTAAATGGGCATTACACAATTTTTGGCATGGGTGCTGAAAGAAAGCTGACAAGCATTTCTACACCTTGTAACAGTCAAATATCTGAAGCTAGAACGACTGTTCTAGTGTGGGCTAAGTGTGGCTTATATTTAGAGACGAAACGACATAAAAAGTTTAAGCTCTAAGCAGACGTATCAGCAAGTAAGGAAGGGGGAAAGAAGCAGAATATTGTCCGGATGAGTCGATTTGGATGCATGATTTGAACGGGTAAACCCTTCCCAACTCCTACATGCCAGGGATGTTCTTGAATTTTCCGTTCTAAGACACTTAAATGTTCTCACCAAAATTTTTAACACTAAGTTTTCTCTAACACTAAGTGTTCTCACCAAAATTTTTGCTCGAACTGGCTTTTCTTCTTTCCCGACTGATACCGTGAGCGATTTAGCTTCGTTATGATGATTATTCTATGGCCTGGCAACGCATTTGAGTTCTCGATTAGTCAGCATTGTCAGAGGTGAATATTTGTTCTTATCAGACAGCCGCTATCACGAGCCGCCAATGGTTCTTATCAATCTCAAGAGACGATGTATCTGTACGCTAGAAGTAATGCGAGATGAATTAAGAGCTTTGTATCCTGCCATATTTCGTTTGGAATAGGCGAAGGGGACTTCCACAAAAATGGCAGGAGTGTGTTTGCCATGCGTCCATCCATAGTGCTTCCAGCGAGAGAGTGCTGGCATAATTTGCGGAATTGCACATCGTATGATTACCTTGGTATGACTATTCCGCTATGCCTTCTGCAGCGACGGATTTCAAGGAGAAACTCGCAAAGCAAGTGCATCCCTTGCTTCCAGTTTGACATTCAGTATTAAGGTGAGTTTTAGGACTAAACTTTTAACCTGTCAAATTCGTGGATTTTAAAATGGTTTCGTCGCTCGACACCTGGCAGGCAAAAGACGGCCTATCACCCAGGCAGCATTTGGCATCCATCGTACATGCGCAGTATATCCTCACATCTTGAGGACGTATGGCAGACGTACGTCGGAGGTCTGATGTTGCCTGGCATTTTTCACATGTACTCAAATTGATGCTTTTTCTTTTTTTTTAAAGGAAACGTATCTTTCCAAGATTGAAGCTACCAGCTAGAAGCTTATTGGATCATTCTGTAGAAAATGAACAAAAATTACATGAAATTTGACTTGACACTTCGAATTTCATTTAATATGGTGGACTTCTAAGGCCTATTTGAAAACTTATCCAATCCAAGTTTCACCGGATTGGATGAAGCACATTTTGACGGACGATTTTTCTTTCAGCGGATTTCGTTAGTGCACCGAGGTTTTCTCCTCATAAACTTAAAGAGATGGCATTGACCCTATTTTGAAGCAATTTTCATGGACTTTGACATATGTTCTTCCTTGAATTTGAATGGGAACAGAGTTGAAAACCCGGTTCAAGAAAACCCTGTCGACCTGGAATTCCAAGGAAATGTGAGCCTTACTATATGCCATAAGCATAAAAGACAAAACCTACCTATCAGAAAGAAACAGGGGGATATATGGATGCCAAAACAAGGATGCATTCTGGTCACGATTGAAATTGTGCCCCTCTCATAACTTCAGAATCAAGGAGGTTCCTAAGAACCGTTTATTCAGTTCCGAATGTTTTGCAACTGCTGGAGATAGCATGACTATGGCCAATTCCGATGATCTCAGAGGGAAGGAAACGAACACCATGGAGAGTCTCAGAACTATTTGTTGAAATAAAAAGAAATATTTATGTGGCATATAATGGGACAGATTCTTTCCCAACCCATGACAATTCAAGTTTGTTTATTTTGCAGCTGGATGATTGCCCCTCATCTTCCAATGCATTACGGTGCTGCACTAAGGAAAATGAAGTACTTGCTCAAGTGGCGTGTGGTGATCAACTTCGACCATTTCCTCGACGAACTAGTCTGCGAGAAGTTGATTCTACCCGTGAAGGAAAGGGGGCTTCGATCGAAGAATGAATACTCTGAACAGATCGAATGCACCTTCCTCGATCTTTGCACGCGAAACCCTCGGCAAACCTACCTGCAACTTCTCGCAATTTTTGATAACATGGGCAGACAGGACATCATAACGGATCTTTCTGGTGAGCAATTGCCTTGAAAGGAACAACTAAACTGCCTTCATGCTGCATGCATTGCACCATATGTTCATTCTATCAGCTACCGAAATATGAAAAGCGAAATTTAAGATCTTTTATTGAGATAACATGCTTCGGGACATCGCAGGGGTGTGGACTCCCAAGATTCTCTGCATACTTGGCAACTTCATTTCCCGTGTTCATGGATTTGCAGAAAAATAATAATTAGGGACAATTCAGGAATTGCATATATTAACATAATTTTCATAGTTCTTCTCTCGTTTAAGGTATTTAAGGTATAATTTTCCGTTTTGGTACATTATAATCTTCCACCCTATCTTACTTCATTGAGTGAATTTACCATAATTTTTGCCGTGAGTTGCTTGGGACACCCTGTAGACTCAAGAGAAGCACATTTTTGAAAACTAAATAGGTAGAGTCCCTCTTCCCCCCCCCCCCCCCTTTAAGATTAGCAGCTACACTAATCACCAAGCACAGACCAAGGCTGTTGTTATGTGCACAATTGTCTCCTTTCAGTTTACAAGAATCTAACGAATTCTTACCACAGGAAGCATGGATCCACCACATGGTAACCAGGGTACCCCAATTCAGCATGCACACTCAGCCTCTTATCTCTTCAGTGAAACGTCAGGGGCAAGCGACGGAAGGTGAGTTTCTGGGCCATGATGTCAAATGCTATTTCGGTGGAACACAAACGAAAAGGTAGCTAGGGTTATTTACCACTTCATTTGGTACATTTCCTATGTGCCCGATGCGAACGCAGATGCCAACATGTTTTTTGATATCAAGCACTACGATCATGCCAAATTTTGCACACATTATGTGATCTGATTTCTCTCGTTTAGTGTTATTAATGGTCTTGTGCTACGATTAATGCCATTGCGTTAGTCGGTCGCACTTTCTCTACCTGTGTACTATCTTTGTTTTGGGCAAAATGATGCAATAAACGATTTAATCCCTTTCTTTCAAATGCTACATGAGAACGAAATGGATCTTCGCAGGTCGAGCAATGGAGATGCAAGCAACATCCCTAGTACATTTGCGCAGGTAAGTGAGCATCATAAGGCTGCGAATCGGATTCTCCATCAAATAAGACAGTCCCTTTAAATATATTAAGGTCGAATTGGCAAAAGATCATTGAAAATCATTTTCGCATTGAATGAGCATACGAAAAAAGGAAACTAATTCTGCTGGTGGAGGTGCAATCCTACAGATACTTAAATCTATTAGTTATTTTCCTAATGGTATACCTGGCTTCGGCTCCAGTCATGGGTCCCTATTTCCTTTCCTAATACATTTCCCTTTCTGACGTCAACCGTAAACTTGAATCACCTTTTCTTTGAAGTCTTCTCTAAAAGATGCGAATGAGCAACATCAACAACGGCTTCTTGTATCAGTTCTGAGATACTATGAATTGTAAAACAATTTTCTTTTAATTCCAACAAATATGATATGGCTCAGGTCTCAGGTATTCCTTCATTGCACTGTCTGAGTTTCGGGCCATGATGTCAAATGCTATTTCGGTGGAACACAAACGAAAAGGTAGCTAGGGTTATTTACCACTTCATTTGGTACATTTCCTATGTGCCCGATGCGAACGCAGATGCCAACATGTTTTTTGATA